TTTTAAAAGAAAAAAAGTCAGTGAAGCAGGATAAAAACCACCAATTGGAGGGAACTATTAATTTTTTAAAAGGTAATCAGGAAGACCTTACTAATAAGACATTTGAGCCAAGATTTGAAGGAGGTGGAGTGTCTTATATTTATCTGGGGAAGAGTGATACAAGCAGATGGAGTAGATTAGAACTACATGTAATTTCCTCAAATTTAGGCAACAAAATAGTAAAATTCATAAAAATTCCATAAAGCTTTTGCTCTGTGTCCTCAACCAGTAGCAGAGATTTTCAAAGTGTTCCTATCTAATTTTAAATACCTTTATTGGCTGTATATACCTCATTACCACTTTCTAAAATTTTGGAGTCTTAACTTCTACTCATTCACCACTTATTTATTGAGCATTTACTATGTTCTAGGTCAGGCATTGGCAAACTTTTTCTGTAAAGAGTCAGATTGTAAATATTTTAATTCAGCAGGCCATATGGTCTCTGTCATAACTCTGCTCTTATAAGCATGAAAAGCAGGCATAGATAATCCATAAACAGATGTGCCTAGCTATTTTCTCAATAAAATTTTATTTCCAGACAATGAGTTTTGAATTCCATATAATTTTCCCATGTTGCAAGATATTCTTTTTTAACGTTGTTTAACCATTTAAAAAATGTAAAAGCCATTCTTACCTGTGGGCCATACTCAAGCAGGCAGTGGGCCAGATTAGGCCTGCCAGCCATGGTTTGCCCAAGACTTATTCTACATTCTCAGCATAGGGATACGTAGTGGACTGAACAAAGATCCTGCCCTCATGTGCCATGCAGTCTAGCAGTGGAGAGACAGATAATAAACATAGTAAGTAACCAGTTTAGGACTTTAGAAGGTGAAACAGGGAAAGGAGGATCAGGAGCATTGTGGCACTGTTAAATAAAGGGGGCCTTTACTCTGAGAGGAGATGATGGAATGAACCACTGGAGAGTTGTGCAGTAGTGTGACCTTCCCTGTGCTCTGTACTCCAAAGAAGTCAGAAGGGCCATTGGGGTACCAGTGGCCCCTCCTGTGAACAAGTCCCTCCCTGTGTATATACCAGTCAAGTCAAAGTTACAGTGTCTGGATATCATTTTAATTTGGTTCTCACCAGTCCATCTCATCATTACTTCCTGATTCATCTTGTTTTTTTGCTTGGATTTGAGCCAGTGGAATCTCTTATTCCAGTGGGATAAACATACTGAGCATATTTTCCTTCTCATCAATGAATTGAGAAATCTTATGCAGAGATGCATTGCAATATATTTGCACAAACATAAATAGAAAAGTTTATAAACAGGTGAGTTTTCCAGAGAACATTTATTGTATGGAAGAGGATAATTCTTTTTATCGTAAGTTTCTGCTGTCTGTCTCCAACTAGTTATTGAGCATCTACTATTAGCCTCAGACCAGCTTCCATGCCACTTAAAATGAATGCAGTGCTCTTTACCCTGATTTATAAAACCCTAAGTGATCTGGTTCCTCTCTAGCTGTAGAATCTCCTCCTCTCCCACTCTTCCTTCACCTACTACACTTAACAAGTTTACAGATATTTTTCAGAGACTCAGCTATGGCAAGCTTATGCCATATCATTGTCTTTGCACCACCTTTCCCCTGTGTCTTATGCTTAGAATGCTGTTTGCCCACTCACTGCATACTTGGGTGGGGGCAGGGGGATGGTTATAAGAAATGATCATCCCAGTGAGAGTGTCCCCAAAACTCAATCTAGATCACCCCCAATGATTCTCATTCATGTAGCTCTATTTTAATTGCCTACATACCATTTGTTACTGTCTGATAGTGTCCGTGTGTGTGTATGTTGTTGGTTTTGTTTATCTGTCTTCTGCCACTAGAGATGTGAGCAGTGAGTGTTATGGTCTTGCTCACTTCTCACTTACCTACCTAATCTTAGAACAATATCTGGCATATATTAGTCACTCAGTAATTATTTTTGGAATACATTAATGAAAGAATGCATGCATATATTCATGCCATGTACCCCACAGTGTGTTAAGCATCCCTGATGAAAGTTTCCTTGGACCTGTTTCTTCTCTGCTTGTCCCCTTCCCTTTTTGAAAAAGTCATCTATGTTTGTTCTTCAGCATCTTTCTACTTGAAATAAACCCATTAAATCTGGTTTGTGCCTCTACGCAAATGAAACTGCTCACAACAGTTTCCATTTGCCAGGAACCTCTTAATTGCTGCGTCTAGTGGATCCCTAGTCTTCATCTTATTTAACCCATCAGCAGCTTTTGACAACTTCTGCCTTGAAACATTATGGGTTTTACCTTCACATCCATTATATCATTTCTTGGTTTTATTTCTTAAACCATGTGTGCTTATGGCTGAAATTTTGTGTCAAATAATGTAGTTACCTTTTCAGATGGAAAAATCATTTCTGCTTTATAATTTCATGTCTTCCTGGTGTTCTACTATCTGACTAAATTTATGAACCACTGCAATGAGTGGTATGTGCTTACACATATACCTGTCAAAACTGTGTTGGATGACTTTTAGCTAGTTTTGATTTATGAACCACCTTTTTTATTACAGAATGTTAGACATTATATAGTTGTTTTTTTATTATACCCCAACTGATAATAGCTGAGGTTGTAGATTCCATTTTGTGTAGCATTTGTAGTAATTTTCACTAGAAAAAAATCTTTCAGTTATTGTTACCCTCCATTTTTCCATTTTAGGAAACAGGACCTGAAAGTAAAGTTGTTGGAAGATCTTTATAACCTATAGATAATTTTCCTATGTCAAGAAAATAAAACCTTCACAAACCACCTGTTCACCACATTAAGCATTAACAAAACTAGTTGGCAGACCAGATCTTTGTTATAGGATCCCAATAAAGAACATAAAAAATAAACTTATCCAAGTGTATTCTCATCCTTATCTCTTTTCAATCTCCCCACCCCACAAAAAAAACATGGGTGAGAGGGAGGTTTGTCTCCTCTAAAGCCTCTGCTGCCTCTGGTTCTGCTGCCTCTGGTTCTGCTGCCTCTGGTTCTGCTGCCTCGCTCTCTCTCTCTCCCTGCTCTCCTGTTTTGAACTCCTCTACTAGCTTTCTCACATGTTCAGGTCTCTCGCATGCTGATAAAAAACTCCACCAAATCCCCTTCCTACATGTTGTCCCATCTTATTTGACCCTTCTTATCCATGCCTCTCAAAAAAACCTTTGCCTGCTGTCTCCTTTTCTTCAACCTCCATTCAACTTTTTTGAAACATTTTTATTAACTATAATATACATACTGAAAAGTACACAAAACATGTACAATTTAATAAAGTAGCTATACAATGCACACCAAAGTCACATAACACACTGTGTTCAAGAAATAGAAAATTGGAGTTATCCTGAAATCCTCTATGTGCTGTTCTCTCCCTGTAGAAGTAACCACTATCCTGGCTTTTATGAGTAGGCGTTTCCTTGCTCTTCTTTATAGTCATACCACCTTTGTATGTATCTCTTCACTCTTCAGTCTATTGCTTTCTGCCTTCCCACTGATACCAAAATTCTCACAATAAGGTTATCCATGAACAATTGCTAAATCTAATAGGTGTTTCTCAGTTCTAATCTCACTAGGCTTCTCTGCTATATTTGACATTGTAGATCAGTTCATCCTTCTTGAAACCTCTCTTTAAGGTCTGTAACTGTACTCCTCTGTGGCTCTGCATCCTTCAACCTTTCCTTCTTTGTCCCTGTCCCAGGCCTCTCTGCCTGCCCCTTAACTGTTATTATGCCCCGGGTTCCATCCTTAGCTCACTGCTGCTCATACTGGTTATGGCAATCTTCTCCACTCTAGTCATCTCATCCTCCACTGTTATGCAGATTATTTTCAAATTTAATCTTAAGCTCAGACTTGTTCTGTAAACTTTAATCTTATGTAGACAACTGTTTGCTGGACATCTCTGCCTTGGTACTCAGCGTTCAAGACAGTCTGCATCTTCTTCCCATCTCAGTTGGCTCCTCTTTTTCCTGCCTTTCCTGAATCAGTTTTTGGCAGCACTACTCACCATTTCACCCACATTAGAAACTTGAAAAGGATCCTAATTTTTTCATTCCTTCATCCCCTGTATCTTTTCAATGTTCAAGTAATTCCAGTTTTATTACCTCATATATTTCCCGTCTACCCTTTTCCCCTATCTTGTTACTCTTAAGAGTTTAGACCCTCATCACTTCACCTGGCATTCCTAATAGCCATGTTATTGGTCTTTCTCACTGCATCTAACCTTCTCCTGCTCATATTCATCATACCTCTACCTATAAGCCAAAGTAGTTTTTCCAAAATACAATTCTAACTATTCTCCTACACATAAAATTTTATCCTTAAAACTTTATAAAGCCCAAGCCCCTTAAGCCTGTATGGCCCTCCATTGTTTTGCCCTGCTTTGTCCAGCCTTGTTTTTCACTGCACCTGGCTGCGCATCTTACACTTTTTCAGCACATATGTTCTGAGTTTCATGTCATTGTTCATGCTCTCCCCTCTACCTAGGATTCTACTTTTGACTTTCACCAAATTCTTTAAGAGTACATTTAAAATTTATAATTCCAGGGACATTTTTCCTGATTTCCTTTACCCATCCAATGGTGGGTTCCTCTCACCATTCCATTAATACCTTGTACATGCTTCCTGTCACTGTACTTACATTATTCTGTCATTATCTGTATGTCTCTCATGTGCTACTAACCTGTTAATGCTTCTCTTTCTGAGATACCTAATACCTAACACAGTATTATGCACAGTGCAATTCTAAATGGAATGAGGGGCAAAGAAGGAGAGGAAAAGCACACTTTGACATTAAGAATAAAATTATTATTATCATATCCACACTAAATACACAGAATCATCTGAATATGGGGTCTCCATACTATACTCCAAAAGGTTGCACTTCTAAGGAATCACTTACCTAAAAAGAGCTCTTTTGGAAAGAATGACTTGTCTTCAAACATTTAATAAATCTTCACAAATATTCATATTGCAGACCAAACCTGGACCACCCAAAAAGCCAAAGACCCCCTCTGGACAGTCAGTCTTGGTTTATTGCTACAACTGCGGGCAAGAGGGCCATTATGGACACGTAAGTTTGAGTGGCATTTGTGCATAAAGCATTCTGTTGTTCAGGGAATGGTTGCTGAAAGATGGATTTGTAAATAATGTAATTCTGAACACTTCTTTTTTTATAAACTAACATCCTGAAGTAAGATTTAGTATGTTTTCAACTGATTCATTTCTCATTCCTCTAATTGCTGTAAATATATATGAACAGATTAGCCTATAACAAATATAGCTTGTAAAATCTGTCAGACAAATAATAAGAGTCAACAGAATGGTTACAGTTCTTCTGAGTTCTTACGATTACTACTTTGAAACAGAAAATCATGACTTTTTAGATTTCCTATGTAGTTTTCCAGTATCTCCACTCTTCCTTCGTGCTGTATTCATGTCATGAAGCTAAATCTTCATAACATATATGTAAACCCCAACATTCACTAGTGGAAAAACGTAGGTACTGCATCATCGACCAGTCTGCCTACCCCACAAATGCTCAGATTCCCTCTCCAGCCTGCACATTCCCTAACCCCACCTGAAAGGGCCAAACTTTGTTTGCTCTGGGTGCTGAGGTGTCAAAGCAGAAGGAATTTGTTGCTGTGAGGTGGGAGTGAGTCTCCTAGCCAAGTAATCTCATTAAGTATTAAACAGCAGCAGCTCATCCCATATATAAGGTGCAGAAAGAATAGGCCCAGAGCCTATACATTTTGGACTCCTGAGGAGGAGGAAAGGTAGTGACATAGGAGTAGAAAAACCATATGGGGAAATACATTCCCAGTCTTTCTAGGCTTCTGATGGCCTAGAAAACAAAATAAGCTACTATCAAATTAGATCTGCTGACAGGAGGTGGAAAGCATACAGAGAGAGGCTAAGGAGCCCCCAAAATGGGTAAGGGTGTGAGCAGTGGGATGGGGTGGTATTATAGGTCATATCTGGAATTACTCTGACCATGGCATTTCACTGTGCACAGACCTTGGGGCTGGAGCTCTACAGTGTGGGGAGAGACAAAAAGGCTGGGAGAAGGAAAAGCACTGGACAGAGTTCATCAAAAGATCAAGTTTTTCTTCCACATTGGGGCAGCAGGACCATGGAATGGAGGGGTAGAATTTATAATCTAGGATGAAGTTCCGATCCTTAGTTCTAATTTTTGCTCTACTACTGACTTAACCACATGACTTGAACAAGCCACATTTTCTCCCTGGTCTTCAGTTACTTTACCTCCAAAGCAAAGAGGTTTTACAGGGAGAGTTCTCAGCACTGACACATGGATGCTGGGCAGCAATCACACTGGAAATTGTGTGATCAAATCCACTGTGTGGTGATACAGATGGAGAGACCCCACAGTATACTTACTTCATTTCTATAGAACTCACACTGAGAACGTACTTAGAGAATACTCTGTGCCTTCCTCCTTGTTGCCAACATTCACACTGCCAACACTACTTAGGGAATGCATTCACATAGCAGTCCATTGCCTCATAAATCACATACATGTACAGTTTATGCTAGCTTACCTCTTTAAAGCCAGTGGGGTATTATTTTAGCATTTAATGTTTGTTCAATTAAAGAAAAACAATTATAGTTGGATACATACTACTTACTAGCCATTCCTGTTAATGTAGATAGGAAATACATTAAAAACATTGGGAATTTATCCCTGAAATCTAGATTTAGATAATTTTTGATTTACAATAAAGCAAATTGGCAGCCTCATCACTGCCATAGATGAAGAACTCTAGGTTATCCACACTAATGAAGAAGATCAGTGGTGTGGTTAATCCAGAATAGTAGATAAATTATATAGTCAACTATCAATTGTCTGTGCTAATGGAGAGGACCAGTGAGGTGGATAATCAAAATACAATTTACATTTAGCTTTGGAAAGTATTTATAGTACTGTATATAGCTCTGTATAGTCACATCAGTCTAGACTGTGCAGGTGGTTAAAGATGTCTGAGGACCCCTCCCCTTCATTTTCAGATGTTCAGCTCTACAGATGTTTTTGAATAGCTTCTTCATGTGGATGATATTCTAAGGTGAAAGTGACATCAGCTTCCCCTAACTCTGCTCACTCTCTAGTGGGGGAGGCAGGGACAATCATAAGCAGCTACACAAGAGGCAAATTGCAGTAAGAAACAGTTGCTATACAAAGAGACTACTCTGGGAGGCTGTAAAAGGATGAGTGGGCACTGGGAGTGTATCAAGATCTCCAGTACCTTTTGTAGTTATCATTTGCTCTTATTTTTTATGGTTAGACTGAGTCCACTCAGGCTACTGTAAAATAAACTCCAATAGACTAGAGGGTATTATCCTCAGTGAAATAAGCCAAGCGGAGAAGGACAAGTACCAAACGATTTCACTCATATGTGGAGTATAAGAACAAAGGGAAACTGAAGGAACAAAACAGCAGCAGAATCACAGAACCCAAGAATGGACTAATACTTACCAAAGGGAAAGGGACTGGGGACGATGGGTGGGAAGGGAGGGATAAGGGCGGGGAAAAAGAAAGAGGGCATTACGATTAGCATGTATAGTGTGTGGGGGGCACAGGGAGGGCTGTGCAACACAGAGAAGACAAGTAGTGATTTTACAGCATCTTACTATGCAGATGGACAGTGACTGTGAAGGGGTATGTCGGGGGGACTTGGTGAAGGGGAAAACCTAGTAAACACAATGTTCTTTCTGTAATTGTAGATTAATGATACCAAAAAAAAAAAAAAACTCCAATAGACTGAGTGGCTTATAAACAACAGAAATAAATTTTCACAGTTCTGGAAACTGGGGAGTCCAAGTTCATGGTGCCAGCAGAATTGATGTCTGTTGAGGGCCTGCTTCCTCATACATGGTGCTTTCTTAATGTGTCTTCACATGGTAGAAAGGGCTAGGGAGCTTGTGGAAGTCTCTTTTATAAGAATGTTAATCCCATTCAAGAGGATTAAAGATGGTTGCATGAGAGGTGAGACAGAAACCTCCTCCCAAAACCACATATAATATGAAAATGTAGCAAATATGTCAAATCCTGAAAGCAACAGAAAAGAAGGCTGCAGCAGACTGTCTACAACTGGGGAAGCCATCAGACTTCAAGGAAAAGGGTAAAGTACCAAAGCCATGATCTGGAGGGACCAAAGCCCTTTCCCAACCCCAGCTCACCAGAGAGAGGAGGAGAGATGGAGCAGGGAGTGGGTGGAGGCCTCGGACTCCTGAACACCCAGCCCTGAAGATCTGCTCTGGGAGCACAAACCTACATTGCATGCTGCTCTGAAGATTAGTGGGGTCGGAAAACTAAGACAGGTGGAATACTTGGAGAGACTGAGATTCCAGCCACCTGTGGAAAACAGGGATCCACATCCAGCCACTCTGGGACAAAAGAAAGGTGGGCAGTCTGAGAGATTTCCTAACGGCAAGGGGGCTGCTAAAGGGGCAAGGATTGCACAGAGCTTGCTGCTCAGGAGAAAGGACAGGTAGACAAAATTGTCTGGGTGCACTCTGCCCAGCAGGTTGGGAGCTTTCAGGAGCTTCAGGCGCTCCATCCTCTTGGCTGGCAATGCAGCTACAAGGCCCCCCACCATGACATGCAGCCTACTGCATCTTCCTCCCAGCAAGCACTACCTGGCAAATCAGCTATCCCTGCCATTGCACTGGCCAGCCAGAGGGCATCCCCACCTACAGCAGCTACAAGTGCAAAGCATAGAGACTTCTCCCTGCATACTCCACCACTGGCCCTGGCAGTGGAGACAGGCACTGCAGCCGGGAAGCAGGAAAGAGCTCTTTCCTCCCCCCAGGCACCAACACCACTCACCTGTGACCACTGCCATCACTCCAGGGCCTGAGCAGCTCCAGAGAGTACAACTTCTGGGCACTACAGGGTGTCACCTACAAATATAAAACGTCAAAGGAACCTGGTTCAAACCAAATCCTGAAAGAGATTTCAAAATAAAAATCAAACATGCTCACAGAACTATAGAAAAATATTCAAGAACTCAGGGAGGAATTCAGGAATCAGATACAAACGTTGAAGAATACAGTGTCTGAAATGAAACATACAATGGAGGGATTTAAAAGCAGATTAGATGAAGTAGAGGAGACAGTAAATTAAATAGAAATTAGAGAAGAGGAATACAAAGAAGTTGAGGCAGAGAGGAAAAAGGATCTCTAGAAATGAAAGAATATTGCGAGAACTGTGTGACAATACAAATGGAACAATATTTGCATTATAGGAGTACCAGAAGAAGAAGAGAGAGAAAAAGGGATAAAAAGTGTCTTTGAGGAGGTAATTGCTGAAAACTTCCCTAATATGAGGAAGAAGACAGTCTCTCAGGCCATAGAGGTACACAGATCACCCAATACAAGGGACCCAAGGAAGACAACACCAAGACATGTAATAATTAAAATGGCAAAAATCAAGGATAAAGACAGAGTATTAAAAGCAGCCAGAGAGAGAAGAAAGATCACATATAAAGGAAAACCCGTTAGACTATCATCAGATTTCTCAACAGAAACCTTACAGGCCAGAAGGGAGTGGCGTGATATATTTAATGCAATGAAGCAGAAGGGCCTCGACCAAGAATACTCTACCCGGCAAGATTATCATTTAAATTTGAAGGAGGGAATAACAGTTTCCAAATAAGCAAAAGCTGAGAGAATTTACCTCCCACAAACCACCTCTACAGTCTATTTTGGAGGGACTGCTATAGATGGAAGTGTTCCTAAGGTTAAATACCTGTCACCACAGGAAACAAAATCACAGTAAAGAAAGTAGACCAATTAATTACTAAGCAGATGCAAAATCAAATCAAAACTACTCCCAAAGTCAGTCAAGGGATAGACAAAGAGAACAGAATATGATACCTAATATATAGAGAATGAAAGAGGGGGAAAAAAAGAACCTTTAGATTGTGTTTGTAATAGCATACTAAGTGAGGTAAATTAGACTGTTAAATAGTAAGGAAGTTACCCTTGAACCTTTGGTAACCACAAATCTAAAGTCTGCAATGGCAATAAGTACATACCTATCGATAATCACCCTAA